CAAGCACTCTGTGTGTAATGAGTGCGACCTTAGAATGTAGAGAATGCAGCGTAAATAATGATGTGCCATCCGCAGCCTCTCGTCGGTGGTTCAGGGGAGTGGATGAGGGGCTGCGTGGTGACATTTCCCAAGCCCCCGCCTCCACTTGATAATTGACCGACGGTTCGGGAGCGCTGAGTGGCAGGTTCATCTCACAGGCGGCGCTTGCCGCATTCATGATGAATGATATCTGCCGACGGCCAGGAGACGGATCATCTTGCCATCTTTCATGGTCCGACTTACCGGCAAACCGGCCATGGTCAGCAGTCTCTTGTTCTCTATCACTGCCCAATTATCTTTTCACGAGTAGTGTTTTTTTTTGTAATAAATCATTGTTCACTCAGGGGTTGGGTATACTTTCTTAATGGATGTGACTGGTATATATACTGTTTATAAAACGTCATATTAGCAAACATGACCATCTATTTCCAGCTGTATGTTAGCACAATGATAAATGATAAGTCACATTTGTAATGTATTACATCACTTAGCTAGGTCCCACTCCAATGCACCTTCCAATATCAGCAAATTCATCACGCATCAACAACTGCCATTATCTATCAATTTCTGGATGAAGGCCTCCCAACGCCTTTTCCATTCCTCAGAGTCCTTTGCTGCCACAATGCATCTGACTCATGCACATGAAACGATCTCATTGATACTCCTGCTGTTATGGAGTGACTCATGCAGCCAGCTATGGCTGCAAAGTTTGGTAGTACATAGTATGTATATCGTTTATTGTAATGATCACTGTTACGTTGTTTTTATAGCTTTATCTTGGTGATTTCGAAAACGTTTTGGTTTAGCCATATTTGTTTGTTGTAGTACAGAGTTAGACTGATAACTTTAATCTAATTTGTCTTATGGTTGTTATTGTTTGACTTGCATCCCACTGGAATTTTTGCACACAGCATTGATATACGGTGCTTTTTCTGGAAGACTTTGCTGTTTTTTCCTCGATTTTTCTGTTTGCACGTAGTCACTTTAAGATTTTTTCTTGTTCATGTGTTTTGTTTGTTGCGGTTGCACCCGATTCAAGAGCCAAATAAATGAAACTGAATTGTTCCATCTTTGCTGCTGTCGCTCTCTTGGTCATGTTACCTCCTTTGGGCTGCCATGCAAATGCCATCCCCGAATCTACTTTCCTAAGTCAATACATTTTTTATTCATATTTGATTCCTGATCAATGTGCTCATCTGTCCGGCAATGTAAATCTAAGTATTGTTGACTGCATACTTTTCAGCTTTTGTCTAGTTTTTTGTCAGTGTACATTTTTCTGATCCATCCATTATATCAAGAGCACGCCTAACATCATTGGCTAGTGATATCTAAAATGGTCCTGGGTACCCCATTCACCAACCTGCACTGACCAGCGTGTTGAAGTATGGTCACACGACCCCCAATACGGTGGGTTGGAAATATAATGTATACCTTTGTACACATTGGCAACATGACATCAGCCGACATAGCAGTTCATAGTAGGGTAGACGTGGGGGAGCAGGTGGAGTAAGTGAAGCGGGTGGAGCAGTATGGACCTGGTGAAGCAGGTGGAGTCAGTGAACCGGGTGGAGCGGGTGGAGTGAGCGGAGTGAGCGGAGTGAGCAGAGCAAGTGAAGCGGGTCTCGTGAGTGAAGCGGGTGGATCGGGTGGAATTGGTGGAGTGAGTGGAGCGGATGGACTAAGGGGAACGGGTCAGGCGGGTGGAGCGGGTGGAGTGGATGGAGCGGGTGGAACAGGGTGGAGCAGGGTGGAGTGAGTGGGGCTCACCAGCTGGTCTCTCCAAGCCCGTTCTCAAAGCCTCAAAGGTCTCTAGCATTCTTTTGCATCTTGATAATTACAGGGTGCAGTGCTGACAAAGTGCTCTTGCACTACCCCGTGTGCAACCTCGGTTCGACTCCCGGGCAAGGCTATCAGCTGAACCAGTTGAATCCACTTACCCCACCATTCATGAAGTAGAGCACAGTCAAACGACCCCCATGACCGACATGGCATGACGAGGCCTTCATCCAGCAGTGGAAAGATAAAGAGCTATAGACGTATCGATGATTCGTGTAGATGTTATTGTACTTCCCGTTTGTTTTCCTCTAGTGGATGCTGTTTTTGTTTCGAACCCACGTCTCATGGCGTTACTTTGACGTCAATTCAACACCCTGTACCACGAAACAAAATGCTGGCGCTGCTTGCTATGGGTGGAGTTTATTATCAGGTGAACTTTGGATAAATGACCAGGTTGTTACAAACATCTGTAAAGTTGATAGCTTAGAGACTAGGGAACAGAGAAGCCAGCCAACTCAAGTTCTCAAGTCGTGAGAACATTTCTGGCATCAAAATTAGATCGACAGGTTGCAGCTAAATGACATCATTAGATGCCAAATTATTACTTTTTAAATCCCTCAAACTTGTAGCCGCTTATGTTGGCACAGATTGTCACATCTTTCCAATCTCTGGTCTGTTTCATAGATTTCAAAATAAATTGTGACACATGAAATTAAAACAAATCTAGAGATACAAGTATATGTATTTTCATAGCTGCAACATTATTCCCATAATTTTGCAGAAAAGGTTAAGTCTAAACTAAAACTACTGTATTAACCAGGTAAAACCCACTGAGCTATGAGCTCTTTTCAGAGGTGACTTGGCCACACGTGATAGTACATCGAATTGGCTAATATCATCACCAGCACAGGTACAAATTTATAGAAGCAGCCAAAGAATGTAAACGCAAGTTTCTAAATGTGGAGGGCAAAACCAGAGGACCTGGAGAAAAACCCAAGCTACCACGTGGAGATACTACTCGCGAACTCCAAATATACATCAGGCATCGTCAGGGTCTGCCTGGAACCCACGACCTCATCCCACAGGAGGCGCTTGGATGAGTTCACCCAAAAAAACCAAGCAACTCTCCTCTAAAAGCTACTACACACTCAGACTGTGTATTCCAGGCTGTCCGGCTTGAGTGTGAAGCATAGTTAATGGTACTAGATTTTTTTATATTGATGTTACATTCACGCACTTTTGTATTGCACTTTAGTAATGTTATTGCGATGGAACTCCATACTTTGAATATGTCAAATTGGCGACATCACTCGCGCACTGACAGTGGGCCCTACTGTGATATTAAAATGCATATTTTATGGCGACATATGTAGTAAGGTGGCTTGAGAATCATGAATACCGGTGGTATACCTTGCATCCCTGCCCCAGCAATTGGACCAATTGTTGCGATTCAGGGTCCCGGTTAAATAATAAAAATAATATATTTTTATTGTGGTAAATGTAACGGCCGCTTGTGCCTGCAGATGTAGTCAAGTACAACATAAATAAATGATGTTTACGCAGGACATTTAGGATCAGGGCCTCTGCTAGGGTTGTGCTGGATTGAGCCCTCCACCGCCAAATGTATGTTGAACTTCTTTCACACCGTACATATCCAACCGTGCTAATCCCTCAGGCCCATCCAAGTTTACTCTCGTTCACAGTGTGTCACCGTCATGGTGCCCCCCACACAATACTGTTCTGTAGTTTGACTGCCCCCCCCCCCGGCCATCACCCCCCACCCCAGGAGGAGCTGGAGGCTGGGCCTGGATTCGATGCTTCAGAATCTGTTAATGTATACAACGAGAAACGTCTAATGAATATGCGCGACAATTTAGAACGCACCAGCCTCTTATTTGAGAGAGAGAAAAAAGAGATCGGTCATTATCAGTCTCAAAAAGGCTTAAGTAGGCTCAGACCCATCAAAAGAAGTATACAGCAAGGGCTGAAAAGTTACGTACTCTGCATATACACAGCTCAATTTTCTGTCGGATTAAAGGACTCGTGCACGAACACAGAGCTTCACACTCACGTCGGACAGCGAACTGGAAAACTAGGTGTGTATATATGTATCAACCGGACAGTGGTGACGCATGCCTGTAATCTGGCACTGTGAGGGCAGCGATGATTGGTGGATCACACAAATGGTGTGAAACTTCCATCCCGTGGTGCGTCGAGAAGCCATAGCCTGGCTTGACCAGGAGAAGACGTCACAAACAAAGTGCAGACTAATATCATCTGTGCATTCTGCATGGGATAGAGAATTGTCTCCACGCACGCGTGGCTTTTCTCGGATTGCTTCTGTTTTCTCCCACATGCCTAAACACTCATTAATCGGCTGAAAACATCTTAATACAGAGGACTGCAGGGCTTTGGGCAATTGTTGGCTCGGGCTCACCGCCTGGTTTCCTTCCGGCTTGTCTGTAGTCCATCAGCGTTGAGATGCTATTAAATGAATGACGCTATTAAAAGTAAACATTAACATATTGCTCATCTATATGATACGGGCGACAGGATTATTTGGGGGTGGGGGAGGGAGTTGCATTTCCATTTCGTTGGTATGGTGGTGCACACCTGGTTGGTCGATCACACAGAGACGAGTGAAACTGGGTCACAACGAGATGACAGCACGTGGATTCTCTCATCCACCCGTATGTAACGTTGAGTGTTATCCACCCGTGTGCATTGTGTATCTTCTCCAGGTATTCCGGGTTCCTCCAACGATGCCACTCACGAATTGAATCGGCCAAACGTCCCAGTAATTCGGGACCGAGAGCCTGGAGACTCGCCGAGGCTTTCCTGGCTCATGAAATGGCATACGTAATTCACGGGGCATATTTATCACCGTTATTGTTACAGCAGTATAAACCTGTGCTGTGCGCGCAGACCTGGAACGCGTTACCGGCTCATGGTCGGGATCCATGCCGGAGCTATGCAGTTTTGCCAGAGACATGAAACAGTGTCGTTTCCAAAGGGCTCACTGCGTGTGATTAGTGCGCATTCGTGACGGGCTGGGCTCTTCTCAGAGTGCGCGATAAGAAATTCTCAGACTAACAATCGTGCGCTCAGACTGACCAACTTAGGCGCGCACACGCACGCTCGCACAGAGAGATAGAGAGACACACACACACAAAAAAACTCATTACCGGGCAGCAACAGGGGGGGCTTCCCACGGGACCAGTCGCCCTTGCCGTCGGTCACGCACAGCCCCAGCACGCCGTCCCACCGTGCGGGCGGCAGGCACAGCAGCGGGGCCACGTCCCAGCCAGAGCCATCCCCGGAGCCAGAGCCGTCTTCGTCCGACCGCACGGGAGCTGCCGACCCCAACAGCAGCAGCAGCGCAAGTGGCAGCACCAGCGGAGGAGACATCCTTGGCACGGACCTCTCTGCCTCGCAACCGGCGTCGGGACTTGTGAGCGTGCGAGAGTTGTCCTTCGAGCGGGGCAGCGGACGACCTCGCTGCCGCGGTCGTTTCGGTGTTGCTTGTTGCTGTTGTTGCTGTTGCTGCTACACGTGGGACTGTCGTTGCCTTGCCTGTATGAGTGGACCCGATGGTGATGATGATGGTGGTGGTGATGGAGTTGTTGTCGGGGTTTTTGTTGTTGTTGCGAGACCAAAAAGTGCGTTGCTCGGGACTCAAAGAGTACGGGTGGAGTTGTGGAGCGTCAAGAGGATGTGCGCACCACGGGGACTGGCTGCTCGACGCCGCTTGATAAAGGGGGGGGGGGAGGCGGATTTTGCATGGAGGGGAGGGGTAGCTAGGCGGAGGAGGGCTGCGTGTGGCTCTGCGCTGGCTGGTACGTCTGCATGCTGCTCGTGCCCGTCAGGGGTTGGAGGTGGAATCGGAGATGGAGATGACTAACGCTGTCAGATACAAGCCCCCACCCCCCACTCCCACCTTCCCTTCTCTCCCACCCAACACGAATCTCAACTCACACCTCACCCTCGTTCGTCAGTCACTGTTGTCGCCCCCACCCCCCGGCCGCCGCCACCGAACAAACCCCGGGAACAATGGCACAGCTATCGAAGTGTGCAGGTGGTGAGATCCATGTGGGCTGCAGGGGAATCAGGGGCCGCCCTGTGAACGGGAAGGGGGGGGGAGGAGGGGATTTAATTCCTTGTACTGCGGCCCATGCCAACCACGCCTCTGCCCGGGCAGCGGCTCTTTCATCCGTGTTTGTCAATGTTCATCAAACCCAACGTCTGTTCTCATCTCCCTACACCCCATTCCTGCAGCAGCAGCAGCAGCCAGCAACAGCCTTAGCAGTGCCGGGTTATCCTCATAGGAAAAGTAGCTACACATATAGTAGCTACACATGTAGTAGTAGCTACACATGTAGTAGTAGCTACTACACGTGTAGTAGCAGCTACTACACGTGTAGTAGCTACTACTACACGTGTAGTAGAAGCTACGGGCGCCGCACTTTCAAGGGCCCCGCGCTAAATGCTTTCAAGCAAATAAATAAATGCACCGTTTAAAAATAAATTTATGCAAACCAACACACCTGAAGACGACCGTTTGAGTTATGGTCGAAACGTCGTGAGAATTTTTTTATTGTCTTATATATATATTTTATTATTTTGTTGTTTCCCTTCAACGTGACTTTACCGAAAAAACTAAGAATATGAATTACTGCAGTCACGAAAGCTTTAAATCAAAATGCTTTCAAGCTATCAATTCCAGGTTCAGCGATTCTGCACTTGCTCTATTACTATAGTACTATACCGTCTTCAACTTTTATAAACGACTGGCTGTTTAAGGTTTGCGATTTGTCGTATTATCTGGCTGTGTAGCGAATGAAAAAATACAATTACTTTACTATGCAAGTAAAACATTTGTGTGTTAATATATTTACGTGTTTTTATTTTATTTAGGGCCCATTTGTAACATTTGCTACAGGCATATGTTATAGTCTTAGCCTCTACAGTCGTACACACCTCTGTCTTTCACTGTAGTAGCTAGCACCTGTTTAACGTATCAAAGCAGTTGGAATTAACACCACTCTCCAATATCTGCTCACAACACCGTCCAACCTTCTTCACCCCCCCCCCCACCAGCCCTCCGATTAGCACGGTTGGCAACGTACGGCGCGAAAGAAGTTCAACATGCATATTGTGGAACCATGCTGCAGCTATTTTCTGTCTTCCAGTCACATCATCCACCCATACGTCTGCTCACCCTGTTTATAAAGCACATTAGCTCGATGGTGTTAACGATGAATATGGAATGTGCGTCATTATTTGTGTGTTTCACAAGTCCAACTTGTACACTACGTTATTGGGAACCTCAATTCATACTGCATCGCAATTATTTTTTTGTTCATGAAGGTACTTCTCCGTGTATAGTACGGCACGGTTACAACCAATATCCCCTGCTGGCAACATTATACGGACATTCTTTTGTCGGGGTGACAGCACCGTTTAAATGTTTAATCGTGTTAAGTAATTCATAAGCAATCTTGGGCGTAGAGCAGCTGTTTTGAAAGGTGAGTCTCGTCTTTGTGGGACGATCATCAAACGTTGCCACGCGTGCACGCATTTGACCGATGCACGCGATACCCCGCATTTACATTGTGAAAGAAGCAAAAAGGTGAAACCTAAACTGGTCAGGGGGCTGTGAAAGAGAAAAAAAACACAACCGTCCAACATGACTGCAGTCCAGAGCTTGAATGCGATGCTATCCATACCTGCACACCCCTTATCAGTGCCCTACCGTATTACAGACAAATTTACACCTTATTGGTCACCCCGTGCCCAAACAAATCTCAACGTTCATTCCATGCACTACACTATACACTACTATACACTACACTATACACTACACCACTACATAGCAGTCAACCCCTTGTCAGTGCCCTACCTTATTATAGACCAATTCATACCTTATTGGTCACCCCATGCCCTTATAAATCTCAACGTTCATCCTATAAAGTCCCGTCACAGGGGAGAAACACAAACAAATAGACAAAAAAATTGTTGCCCATATTGAAACGGCTGTACGTCGTATGGACCTGAAAACTAAAATACCCTGTACAAGAATACGGGTAAACCGTATGGGTTGACAGGTATGTGTTATCGCTTATGCAAGTGTAATGAGATAGTGACATCTATTGGTTGGCAAAGGGAAGCACAGGTACAGGCACCACTATAAACATCATCCAATTCCAAAGGGAGAGGTATCTGGGCCAAAGGTGAAGGGCGGAGCTGGCCGAGATACTCCGAGAACCGGCTAGAAGGTTCCACGAGAGGGCGTGGCCGGAGGCGGAGCCTAGCCGCACCTGCGGCAATATAAGCGGAGGAGGACTCTTGGTCGGTGTGTGGAGTCTTGGGTCTTGACTGCGTCGCTGCTCGCCGTCATCTCTCTCCGTCGTTCGGCCACGTGGCGGATCTCCTGCAGAGTTCCACCGCCCTTACCGGCACGCCGTCAGCCAGCGGCGAGGCCGGGAGTGAACGGGCGGAGCCCCGCTGCGTGATCCACCGTGTGTATAGTTTGTAACAACGTTAATATCCGAAGTGTGTACTCGGAAGAGGGAGAAGATAACGTGAGCCTGTGCTGCGCCCACATGTGAAATAAAGAAGAGGACCCTCTACACGACGTGCCGCAGAAGTCGGTCATTACACAAGGATGGGTTTGTAAATGGGACAGTTCTCACAAAGTTGAGCTTGGTTTGTCCCTCCCGAATCTGTATGGCGGCGTAGCGGTTAGCGCGCACTGCGCACACCCGAGTTCGATTACCGCTCATGGCCAACACCAGTGACGATTATATGAACCGGTCGTGGTCCTCCCCTAGGTCGACTTGGCCTCAAATGAGTTCCTGGTACAGTGCGCAAACATCGCAACTAGCGAGACAAAGGTGCCCGGGCGTTGTGCTGGCCACCCACTCCCTTGTTTGCAGTCCAGGCCTTCATAGGTGTTTGCTAACGGCACTTGTACCGACATTCTGTTAAGGCTCTACGGGGAACATTTATCTTTGTACCCTGTCCAACTCACGTTCCTGCTGAAGATCAACTGCTGTAACTATGTGGTCAGACTCCAAATCCCAAGTTGGTATATTTTTTTAAGCTTAGTTTTTTTTCCTTCTATCCCAAAGACTCAAAGGTTGAGCAATCCCCGGCATAAAACGATTGCCGATGATGTTTACATAGCAAGCAGAAGTCTCCACCTGCTGGCCGTTCTCAGCGATGTTCAAGTATAGGAACGACTGAGGGAGCGATACAGGCTGATTGAATGCGTTCCAGGTGTGTATGTGGAACCGGTCCGCCCTGTCCCTCGCCTCCCGTCAGATAAATTGAAAATAGCAACAAGAATTTTAAAAAACATACTCCACGTTGTGTTCTATCCTCCGGAGAGGTTGAGCACCAGGGGTTTGTGAAACGGCGAAACTTTTATTTCAAAGTTTTCGTCAGAAGGGCAATTGCGCATCTGCAGTAAATGATCAGAAACACCCTCCACGTTCACAACACCGCAGCTCAATTCCTCAGCAACACAAATTCCGCCCAAATCTAAATTGGGCGCGTGACCTATACCCTACGGTGCACGTGGGGCTAGAGAACCTATCCCGGATCACCAATGCCTTCTCATCTATATATATAAAAGTCAAAAATTGTCTGTTCGTGGGTTTGTTTGTGGGTTTGTGTGTGATCGATTTGCCTCTCCAACGGTGGGGTTTACGTAAAAAAAAAATAGCCAGGTAACACACCGTAAGCCCCGCGGTGAGCAAGCGCTATTGCTTTTTCACATCCGTCAACGTTAAATTAGTTTAATTAGCGATTTAGTGCAAATTTTGTGCACTCACCCTTTATTTATTTATTTATGACGTGTTCACGACCATACCAACTCACGCGCCTTTGGTGGGGGGGACGGCCCATGCCAAGTCGCACGCCTTCGGTGGGAGTGAGGGGGACATTTTCTTTCGCGTTCAAAATTATATAAAAATACACTAAACGCTGACGTTAATTCTTCACTGTGTGATGTCCCCCCCACCCCGATGTGTGCAGTTATTAATACTATGAAATCACTAGATACTACCACTATAGGCCGTATATATTACTGCAGAGCGGACAGGGAGATCGTGGCTGGGAGGGGGGGTCAGGGTAGCAGCCCAGCCCCAGCCTGCTAAGGTGCCACCTCGGCCAGCTGGACAATCTAGGCGAGGCACTGCACGGGACTAGGCCTCACCACGCCACTCCGTCAGGTGAGTACTTTGTGCTATACAGTCCATAAATACTGCTATAGAGTCAGTATGTACTACTGTAGTGATAACAGGTACCACCACAGTCGCTATGCACTGCTGTAATCATAGCAGGTACCACCACAGTATGCACTGCTGTAATCATAGCAGGTACCACCACAGTTGGTATGCACTTCTGTAATCATGGCAGGTACCACCACAGTATGCACTGCTGTAAACATAGCAGGTACCACCACAGTAAGTACGCACTGCTGTTAGATTTTTAGAGTAGTTTTGAAATATATAAGACCCGCGCAACGCCGGGTACAAAAACGCACCTGGCTCTTCCTTGAAATTGGCAGTGCTCAATTATACGTGTGATTAATCACAGGTGAGCTTACACCGGCTGCGTTTGCGGTGGTGCAGGGTGGAGATGTTAATGCCCTCGCCTGGTATGGATGGAGGTTGTGGGTTCGATCCTGACCCTGACGCATGTATATTTTGAGTTTGCATATTCTATCCGCATTTAGGAACATGCGTTTCAAGTATTTGGCTGCTACAAATGTTCACATGATACTGTAAGTCACTTCATTGGGGTATCATTTGTGGCGAGGTCGCTTCTGAAAAAGAGATATATAGCCTAGTGGGCCTTACCTGGTAAAATACAAAACATTGTTTCGTTTTAAATCTGGGTTTCAG